TCTTTTTAAATAAGTTTATCATAGCGATTTGATATATATTTTCAAATGCTCGGAACATACATATGTACAAATAGCTCTTCGCACACATACATATACACAAAATATTATATAACATTCTCTATCTTTACGTAGTAGTAGTTGGAACTACATATGTACTTTCTATGTATATGTACGAAGTGAGTCCAGAATCCCTTGAGTACATATGTTTGTATATTGAAATAATTGGTATGCAAGTGGAAGTATATAGATTGATCTTAATTTTTTGAGTGAAATTCTTAATTGCAAAAAAATGTTGCCTGAAAATCTATTATTATATAACTTATGGATGAGAATTATATATTAACTAGAAACTGCAGGAAATGATGTAAATGAGAAGACCAAATGCATTTAACAGAAGACTTCTGTATATTTCAAACGAAATCATACAATCTTTTATTAACAATAATTCGTTTGAATCGTAAAACGAGTACGTTACAATATATTACGTACAATGTATTTAAGACTTACAGTGTTATGCGCGAAGCAGTCATTATTAGTTTGATGAAGTTTTAAAATTCTTGAGTAAAAGACCGGGAACCTTATTCATAGATTGTTCTTCATTTCGTTATTATTCCATACAGGTGGCATAAAAAGGGGTATGAAGTAAAGAAGAACGGGGAAATAATAAGAAGTGACATAAGAAAAATGATGCAGGAACTTCTATCAGTTGAGAAAAAATTTATCAAAAAAGAGTGAAAAATAAAAATATAGGAATGATTGACAGGAAGGAAAGTTAGTATAACTGCTTACTTATAATAGGGGAAGGTACGGTACAACAATCAAATAATATAACATGCATTACACATTATTATCAATAGAAATAGAGATTTCACAATAATCGCCATTTTCTCATCTGTAACCATCGCAAGTTTTGCCATAGATTGCAAACAATTCGCTCATTACATCACTTCAGACATTGTTCACATTCTTTCATCTTTTCATCAATGAAACGATTCGTCCCCAATTACCTTCGTATTTCTAAAATTTTGTACAAACTATCTAATTGTATCGACGTATTATCCCGCGATCGATGATTTTCTAAGTACGTTTAACTGAATGATCATTCGCCAGATTCTAATCGACTAACGAGTTGGCACTAAACCGATCTGATATGAAAGATATGGAAGTGCTTGCGCTGGACGTATATCCAAACAATAATCCAAAACTCTTATATGTTGATCAAGCACGATGTTACCTATTTATAATTTATTAATCAGTGTTCCATGATCTAGATATGATCACCTCTATCGAAGACTAAATAGCTCTCCTTTGTTTCCTGTTCCAACGTATAATATCCATAATTTCTTATAATTCGTAAGGCTTCACTTTGTATTATGCTAGCAACTAATGGTTATACCGAATTCTCTTCGAGAATATATCAAGTTTTTCTACTTCTTCTGCTTATTTTCTCCCTCATCGATTCAATTTCATGAACACATCGTCCCGCGAGTCGAGCATCTTGGAGCAAACAGTTCGCGCAGCGCGAGAAAGGCGCAAGAGAGCGTTCGTATTGTTTGTTGTTGCTAATTTCAAAGATTCGCGAACGACCCATCGATCGACCGATCGTATTAAACGGAAATTGATTAGCAAGCTTTGTGGGGAATGAGTGCCAAAACGCAGGTTCCGTTGGAATTCGCAACTAGAGGCGAATTTTCAATTCCAACTTTCTGGACGCCTGGAATAAGGCCGAGTAAAGGATTCACAACCATTCTAGATGTACAGGTTTGCGACGCAGTTTCCGTACGCTTCGAAACAACTGATAGTACACAGTTGTGAGTACGTAACATTTTAATAGTAAAACTATTAAGATTCGATAAATAAACTATAAATTAGGCATTAATAATTCCATTCTACTTATCATTGTCGATCTCTTAAATTGATAATACTAAATGTTTGTTAAATAGTTTCATAGAATAGTTCGTCAGTTTGCATTTGTACAGACTGTTTCACACAAAACATATGAATTTTAAATATACGTTAAACGTGTAAGCTAAAACTAGATAAGAAAGTTCTATGATTTTCATTATAATTTGTCTATTAAAACGAATTGTATGTTCAATATATTTTTCTAAATGATAGAATTACGTGCAAAATGAGACTTGCAATTTCTCCCTCTAGTTCTAAATTTGTTATATAAGAATCTGATATCTCGGGCAGGATGCTATATAGCAACTAAACTAATTTCCAAATACTCCGAGATTTAAATGGAAATTAATGCTATTTAATTTATTAAAATGCTCGTTAGTTGTTGTTTCGCAACTTATGGAACGCGGTTCGCTCGACCCATTAGAAAACTAAACTGAAAACTGACATGCTAAAATTACAAACTAATATTCCTATGTACGGTGCGTGCATGCGCGCCTATTATGCAAATATATTCATTCGACGATGCGACTTACGCCCGCGTATAATAATAATAATCTTTTCTTGTATCAATCTTGATACGATAATCAATTATTCTAACTTACGAGCTAAATCTTAGATCTACGAGTTTTTTCTTTGGTTCGAAAACATATCCTGAAGGCAGCCGTGTTACTTCCTTTCCCTTTCTATCATCTCAAAATTGCAAGTTTGATTATAATTTTACTGTCCCTTCAAAAGCGGTCATTGCTACTTCTGTAATCACTCGATTTTGCAGGGAAAGAATAGTTATGTTTTTCTCCTTCGTTCTATCCTTCTTTGTAATACAAATACTGTTGATACTGATGAAACATATGAAATAGCAATTATAAATCACTCGGTTGACATGCGCCAGCACAGGATTTTCAGTTCTTATCTGTTACAAAATGCTCGATAGATCGATTATTATCTTTTAACTTTCCTCGAGTTTCAAGGTTCGTGAGCTAAAACGCACGCAAATCTGGGTAAAATGACATTTCAAACAATAAATAGTTCAATCTATAAAATTATTTGAAAATACTATTATAAGCAGTATGTCATAATTTATGATTAAAATGATAAATAATTAGATGCATAATGCTGCTTCTAAACATACTGTACAATTTTTCTTTTGTATTTCAGAGTGTCATTTATTTATTATTTGGAGAATCATTTTACCCGAATTTGAACGATCATTTCTTACAAATACAAACACCACCTATCTTATTACGAATGCTCCGTTAAAACGTGTCGCTTAATTATTTGTTTCCTTACGTTTAAAGTTATCACGTTGTAGGAAGGCGCACCTTGTGTTGTATCGCATGTACCTCTTAATCCCGCTCCGAATACTGAGATAATCGAGCAAAGCTCTCCGCTTGATTAACTAGCCCACTTCACTGTCTCCACAAATTTCACGAGCAGCAATTTAGCAGAATTTATTGCGTCCGTATATAAAATTCTCAAAAGTTCACTTTTTACATCTTTGTTTAGTTGCACGGTGTAAAAATATTGTGAAAGACATCTTGGATTAACTCGGTTTAGCAAATACGACAGCAGTTTCGATGTACGATTCCGTCGGCTTACACTTTTCATGACGGAATAATCTTTAAAATGGAATTATTCATTCGGACACAATATTGATTTTGATTTATTGCAATAATTCGGATAGACCGAGTAATATGCGAAAGTACAATACTTCGTAGGCGAAATTTAAAAGAGTTAAAATTGAATGCGTTTATGTTAATAGATATACTGCAATAAAAGCAGTCGATCGAAATACAGCATGCAGTGCGTTGGATTAAAGTAGAAAGTAGTAAAGGTCGAAACTAGTCAGACGCTTTGAAATACGAACGAATTATGTTTGTCTTCGTTGCCGGAATTTCCCTAACGTTGCTATTGCTTTCGATTGATCGCTTAAATTTAGAACGTAAAGTATGTATATGTAGGGGGATTGTTCAATAGTTTCTTCGGCGTCACTCCCGTGCTGGGGGGTGAGCCCTTGGCAGCAGTCAGTATTCTTCCTCATCTTCCTCGAACTCATCCTCTCCCAGGATGCTGTACGAATGCAACACAAAACTTGTGATACAGATACAGCAGCGTTCTCTCGTGACAGTTCATTTTAAAGCATTACTTCGAGGAATTATACCAAATCACTATTGAACGATATTAGATTTATTTTATTAAGAACAACTCTCGAACAATTTAATTCCTCGATGTAAATCAGCAATTTCAATAGGATGTATTTTCTTCTAGCCACACTGGGCACTGCATACATACACGTTACTTACTCTTCCTTCCTGGTGTATTTGTCGATCAAATTACGGCCTGGCCCACCGCAAGTCTTGCCCATTGGTGGACAATACCAATAACATAACACGCTAAGAGACACACCGAACAGAACCGTGGGTACTACCAAGGCTAGTACTAGGTGCCTTAGGTTTTCGTCCCAAGAGTACCTGTTTTAAAGAAATTTTTATTCTATAATAATTATTATTATATGCTACTATTGAATATATGGTCTCTATCATTTCTTTCCACATTTCATTAACATTACACAAGAGCATTACAACTTCTTTTAAATGAAAAGATATTTCAAGCATACAAAATTGATCATAATAACGCTTGCATAGTTTGAAGAAATGTCACATGCCAAAATCTAAGTCTATTAAATATTGTAACAGAATCCCATTTTACATCAACTTCTATACTCGTACATATACGTATAACTATCGTAACAGATTTCGTACTCTCGTTCGCGTAGTTGTCATGAATGTTACCTGCCGGATGACTATACCTTGCAACAACGGTCTCTGGATGTGTCCTACTGTAGTAGCAAGGAAATATCTTGCCCATGTTCGAATATCCGAATTTCTTAGCGAAGTCGGAACAATTCACTCTGGGTGGGTAGCCGCAGCCTTCCGTATTCACGAAGAATTTCGTGTCTGGAACATCCCAGGGTATAGAACCCAACGGTTTCGCCATAAATTCTTCAAACGTCAGCCTGGTGTAGTTCACTCTGATTTGATGACAACGAAGCGCGGCGCTAGTACAACCTACGATACAAAAAAAGCAATGAAAATTTTTTAAATGATTGCGTTTAGAGAAGAGATCTAAGAGACTTGCAAACTTACCTTCCCTACAGCTCGCCCAAGAGCAGTTTTTCAATCCCTCGGCGTAAATGTGCTCAGTGACGACACAGGCCACCGCGTGTGGTGAAAAGTCAGCCAAGATTGTAGAAATGGCAGGTTCCACGACGAAGGGGATTAAAAAGAGGAAGGCGAATACAGCGAGAATGGCCGTGGTGCCCAGGCAGAGGGACGTATAGAATTTCGCTTTCTCTAACAAAGACGCGACCTCCACCACGGGTAACACCCCACCCATGGTGCTGGACTTGGTGTCCTCCTCCTGGGCGCCCATGATCACAGTCGACTCGTCGGAATCAATGATTGCTTCTTTATTTGGGTCTCAAGGACCCTATTCGTTCTATTTGTAAAACTTTCTTCACCCCCGAAGACAAGATTGACTCTTAATGAAAGCTTCAATTCTTGCAAAATACTCTTTATGATTTCAGTATCAAAAAATTGTTCTTTTATAAAAGATTTGCGTCGGATTTGTTTTTCTTGTAATTTAATTCTCAAGCAAAATAATTAAAGTATCCTCATGAATGAGAGCTAACCAGTTTTTTTCACTGTAGGCCGACAACGAGCCTGTGTGTATGAGCGTCGTCCGATTAGTGTCGTCCAATTAACTATATGCTAAGCATACTATTCATATACTTTCGGGAGATGCTCGAAGCGACGAGTTTATCAAAAGATCTGCGTGCAACCTTGACGCTAACGGTGCTCGGCTCGTCTCGTATCAATCATTTACCAGCAAATTTTTCGATGCAGTCGGTCGATTTTGTAGGTGTAATTATAATGTATTGGCTAGCTTCAATACGCGGACCTATATATATTATATAAGGGATGGTTCTTATCTATTGTCACGGCGAATCAATCAGAAAAGGGGGACACTTAAAAACTACCGACGAATGGTCTGTCACATGTAAAAGACGCCGAATTATCCGTGATTCCGCTTATGTTCATTCCTCGTTAACGTTTTCCGTCTTGATATTCAAAAAGATGAATGGTAGAGTCCACAAATTCAGTTCACAATCCTTTCTTCTTCCTCTTCAGCAGGAGAGAGACAGACGAGAGCTTCGTCGCATATCAGATCGTACGAACTTCTTGAAGCAACTCATTCGTGCGCGTGTATGCAGCGACGCGAATTTTTTTTCCTTTCTTCTTTTTTAGAGAAAGCACGTGCAGCTCTCGATGCAGTGTTTCTTGTGTGCAGGCAGTGTAAGTAGGAGAAATCTTGTTGCTTTTTCGCTTGGTACTTGTCTTCGATCGTTCGCCTTCTCTCTTTCTTTTGCTTAATCACTTTTCGAGGATAGTTTGCGTTTATTGCAGGAATATTTGTATTTTGTTTTGTAGTACCTTTTCCAAGATGAGAATTTTAGCCACGCGTTCCCCCCCTCCCCACACCTTAATAATGCCCGCGCAGGGAGAATATCGACTGACGAGCCGGACTCTACTCCAGGAGGGGAATGCCTATGAACAGAAAGATGAACATTACAGAAAAATTATGTAACGTCTCAAGATCACTTTTAAAAGTTGTACGCTGCAGTAAATTATATACATTCAACACTTTCATCGTAATGACAGGCGATTTGTAAATGGAAGTAGATTGTCTAAACTTACATTATATTAACTGTGAAGTCTAAATATAGAACATTTATTATTAACCTTTTGCATTATAATTACTTTATTCTATAAGAGATGACTTCATAGTGTGAAGAGTTAGGATTTGATAATGATGAGAATCACATGGATTATTAAAATATCGATGTTATCCACGGAAGGTTCCGCTGTATGTTAAGAACAATTTGAACCATATAAGGCATAAGAATCCCTGTTTCGTTGCTGTTTTAAATCTTACGTGACGGATCTCAGAGCGCCATAGCAGAATCTCCTCCGCCAGCATCCCCTAGATTACCCGAAGTGCTCTTCTCCAGCCGTGCACCAGCCGAGCCCTTGAATCGCATTTTGGCATCGTCACCGACAACCACGCTGACCTGACAAACGATCAGCGTCAGACAGCTGACAACGCACAGGGTGCTCGGTATCACCAACGCGATCAGAAACTCTTTGTACGTGTTCTCCAAGTTGAAACGGGACACGACTATATCGGTGTTACTTTCGGCATAAAAACAGGGAAATCTAGCTCGCGCGTTGTGATCGGATCCATCTTTACCGTACAAATGAAGAAACTCCTTACATTCGTCACGAAGAGTATTCACACAGCCCTCTAAATTGATCAACAATCGGCTTTCGTTCGCAATGATCAAATCCTGCTCAGGTGGTGCAACTATTTTGGTTTCGTCCAGCGGTTTCGTTGCGAATATGTTGAGATAAGACAAATAAGTAAAATTAGTCAAATCGGTGAGAAGTTCCTTTTCTAAAACGGAGCCGTTGATACAGTCTACAGCCTCGACACCCGAAGTAGAATTAAATATTCCATAACAAGACGCCATCATAACATCGCCTCGATCTTCGTTCCAAACTTCTCGATTGGTTTCAACGTCTATAGCTCTCTCGCATTGACTCAAATAGACTTTGTCACCGCTGAGCAGGATCATGTTCTTATTTCTGGTCGGGATATCCACGCACCGGCGATCACAATTATACGGCGTTCGTATACGTTCACAAGTCCCACGGAGACAATTGAACAAACCGTCTATATCTATACAAGTTATTTTACCGCGTCTACCGGAACACTTCATCGGTGGATCAGTGTCGTGGAATACGCACTCGAACGCGTCGGTTATGTTGATGCACACGCCGGATGTGCAGTTGAACGTGCCCGTCAAGTTTCGACACTCATCCGCGATACATTTCGATTTCTTGGCGTTCTCTTGATCGATACCGTAGCAAGTCTTGTTCGTAGTGTTGGTACAGTTCGCTAACAGTATTCTCGATCCGTTTCTACGGAGGTTGACGTGGATCTGAACACAGGGACCAGATGTTTTTGAGAGGCACCATTCTCCACAGCTGCCCCAATCACAGTTGTCAGCATTTACCGCACGTATCGTTGTGCACATCGCTGGAACTTCGCTAATGCCCGATTTGAAGGCTCTGGTGCTGGGCATGTATATTGCCACTGTGAGATAAACCAAAGCGACTGCTGAAAAGACGGCCGTCATTTGGCAGATGCAAATGGTCCCGCAAATGCACTTATCTTGCGGCGGGACTACCAAATCCTCCACTGGTACTTTTTTCGGCATCGTGCCGAATCAAGTTCGGTTCGATCACCGAAAGAATTCTGATGTCAAGGAACAATTAATTACTCAGTTAATTTACATTCCAAGTCGATCATCGCGATTACGTGCATCCGCTTCACTTTCTGCATCATGGTTACTGCATTCTGCGATGAACTATAGTTTACTTTTCCAACCGCTGCTATGCGGTTGAACACATCGGAACTTGATTCTCTCTCACTGTTTCTGAATGCGGCTTTCTCGTTGCAGCATGGCAAATGATTGCACGCGTGTTCTGCTCTCGGTCGCTTTGCGCTTCGCACGAGATGCGCAGCTCTAGAACTCAAACCTCGGCGCGCATCAATCGATTGCCTGTACATGCGCAGCGCTGAACTGCAACGGCGCTACGCCGCCGAACACTGCTGCATTTCACGTCACAGATGTGTTTGTCGTCATCGATGCACTCTGATACCATCAGGATCTGTGTTGCAGGACAATCGTTCAGAGATGGCGGGATTTCACGTATCCGCGAATTCAAATTGAATCGAAACGTTTCAAGATTCTTAGAAGACAATACTTTGAATTCAATGATTCCCAGATTCATGATAAAAATCTTGCTCATTTTCTTTTGTTACCTTTCACGTGTATGCTTGTTCAATATTTATGTCCAATACGTATTGCAGGTCTCGTTGATCCTTTAAAATCATACATTAGAAATTATACGCCTTCTTTAAAAACAGCTTCAGGTACGCTTTGAGTATTTGTAATCCATTGCGGGTCTCTTTACACATTTTCCTTATAGGAACAAACAAGTCCTACATTACTGGATTACATATCTGAAATGAAAAATCGATGTAACCTTGAATGGGAACGTTAACGCGTTAGTATATAAACTTTATCTGAATGCGTAACAGGTTAAACTGGATCAAAGATTCATAGTCAGACGGACTGAACTTCTTTTCATTCAGCGAATTCAGTTTCATTCCAGTAAAAGTAGATTTAATTCTTTTTTCGTGTCATTAAATTTATCGCTGATGAATTATTCACTGCAGTATTGAACTGCCAGATCGTCTAATAATTAACATCCAACACAAAGAGATGATTCGAATTAAAGACCTGTACAACTCTATGAAATATTTTTTGGGAATTCTATGTAATTACGTGCAAATAAAAATTGATACAGATGACAATTTGCGATTTTCAATCTATACAAAATTTTTATATCGTATTTCATGTT